TAATACCGCTGGACTGATGTGGAGTGAGACCTCTGCTGTCAAACCAGAGCCGGTCATGAGCACACTGCCCAGATATGGGAAACTCTCCACTCTCTCCACAACAGCCCCATCACCAATTGGGAACTGTGAGAGTGGAGTATCCGAGATGGTACAAAATACCCAATGTTGAAAAATGTATAAATAATATAATGAAATTCCAAGAATATGTAATTATCATAGATTATGTTAATTTATGTAGTTATGCAAATGATATATGCTAATCGGGAAGGTGTAATTGTATACATTATGCACGTGTATGCAATTTGTTAATGTATGCAATTATGATAATTAGGCCCTACCTCGTTGTATAGGATTGTATTATCAATCGGGATAATACAATAATTCTTGCTTTAACTTTTACTGATTATGTCTTCGTGTGTTTTATCTCAGTTCTCAAAATTCAGATCTCTCCACAGGATACAGTTCTTATAATTAAGATTATTATGCATGAACTTAGGAAGGCACCACTCAGACTCTTCTGTGTTAAGCAACTTTAATCTCTAAACAAAAACATAACATTCTAAAATGCGAACTCTTGTGCTTGGAATGCAACACAGTACTCCTGGAAATGTCCTCATTTATCTGTACATTTAACCTTCAATGATTACGTTTGTTAAACTGGATAACATAAGAATCAATTAATTCCTCAGAGTAAAGCGAGCATACACGGCGATAGGAAAAAGTCCTTAAAAATGAATGTGACAATATTCATACGAACAGCAATAAAGAAACATGTCCCGAAAGAAAAAGTAGACCTCAATGAATTCATTGGTAAGATTATGCAATTAACGAAATGTCTTGAAACAATGGTGGGCAGCAGTGTGCCTGCTTGTCTAGCAAATGTTATCAATTGGCTAAGGCTTCAGTAAATTTGTGGGGGCTACCGTCCCCCGCCATCACCGAATTGTCGGGGCCGTTGTCCCCCGATTCCCCCGTGACGCTCGTACCGCTACCCCCCGGCTGTTCTGTGGGGTCCGGGCTACCGGCCTCCACTTCCTCGCGTCCCTGTACCCCTGACTTTGTTGCTGACCACGTCGGCATATTTCTATTAGCGGGGTGGTACGCTTTACGCTTGCAGCACGCTACGCTGGTTAAAGGGGATCCCTGCGTTGATTTAAAGGGACCGTTTAAACCACCGCGCGAATACGCGCACGCCTGGCGCGTCGCTCGCTACCGCGCTATAGACACTCGTGCAGGCGAGCGATCGCAACACAGTCACACCGGCGCGCGAGTGCTAAGCACTATTGTGATTGCGCAGGTACGCGAGTGCTAAACACTACTGTAAACAATCGTACAGATGCGTGGACACCAAGCACGCTCCACACTTTCAAAGACCGCACGACGCAGTTTTATCCCCCTGCTAGTGATTTTATTTGCCGCGAGTAACTCGTTTAATCTACGTGTGATGGTGTGGGTCAGTGGACGCTAGTCTATCCCTCGGAGGTCTTAGATTCAATTTCTCCTACCGATCGTCCCGCTCTCTACCCTGGATTTAAAACACTTAAACTTACGTCTCTCTCCCTCGCACTTACTTCCACCCTGCTGCGCTGAACGCTGTAGGGGGACGAGGCGGCGAGTTGTCTCTGTAGAGGGGCGAGCCTGGCGGTGCTGGAGTACGTCCCACGGACGTCTCGGACGGCTGACTCTGCTGCTCCCGGGACTGCGATGATCTTGAAGAAGAACTGTCTAATACTGCCTCAATCACCTCCTTTTATCCTACCTATCACAAAGGCATTCCGTGGCGCACGCGACCACAACACCGTCGCACAGGCACACGAGCGCTAAACACCCCCGAAAACAGTCGCTTAGGCACGGGCACGCTGAACAGCACACCCGTAAACAGCCGCGTAGGCACGCGCACGCTATTCGCTCCGCCTCGATGTAAACAACTGTGCGTGCGTGCGACCACCAAGCACTCTTTACCCTCTTATCCGCCACAAACAGCCGCATATGCGCACGAGCGCAAAACAGTACTGTACACACTCGTACCGGTACGCGAGCACCAAACACTCCGTCTCCCTCCTCGTACTCACAGCGACCACGACACAGTTTTATCCTCTATTAGTGGGTTTATTCCCCGCGAGTATCCCGCTAACTACAGGTGTCTGTGGGAGTCAGCAGGCCCTCCTAGCCTATCCCTCGAGGATCCCAGATTCAGCTTATCCTCCCTATAGCTCCGCTTTCTACCCTCGGTTCAATAGCCCAAACTTACCTCTCTCTCTTACGCGTACTTCCACTCTGCTGCGCTGGAAGCTGTAGAAAAGCGATCCGGAGAGGGTTGAGCCTGGCTGTGCTGAAGTTCGTCATGCGGACGTCTCGAACGGCTGACTCCCCTCCTGCATGGACCGCGATGATTTTTGATAAAGACTGACCCCGCTACCCCCAGCCTCTGTGCTTTTATCCACTCTAAAGGCATTCCGGTGCTCCCGCACTCCTGCGTGCCCTGTCCATTCAGAGGCCGAGTTATTCTCGTCTCATTGTTATTGAATCCCTAATCTTACCTATAACAAAGGCGTATCGTCGTTCCCACACCCCGTGCGGTCCATTCAGATGTTGGCTATTCTTACCCCTTTGTTATCTAGATCCCTGATCCTAACAAAGGCATTCCGATCCGCACCCCTTTGGCCTCCTGACTCGTGCTTGTGTGTGTGCGGTTTCACTCTCGGTGGCTCAACGGCCTCTGCTGTGACCACGTAACTTTAATATCAGGTCACGGCGCCGCGGTCCATGTCAGCCACGGGGGGAGATCGCCCAATTCCCCGGCCGCAGGAAACCATGAAGCTTGATCCCATTAGGGGCTTCTGGATAAAAACCCGTCGGTCAGGTGATCTCCCCTTCCGGCTCTACGTGGGGTGTGTGTGTGTTCATGCGGGGGGGGGGGGGGGGGAGGGGGGCGGAAGCGAAGCGCGTCGCGTCGGGGTTGGTGTCGCGGCGGTGGGCACGGTCCCCGACGGAGCTACTCCGCTGCGGTGGCACCACAGTACTCCTGCAGCTGCGCCAGCCATCGGGCCATCTGCCCCCGCGGTTCCTTGAATGTAAGGAGAAACTGCAGGGCATAATGGTCGGTGCGCACCCGACATTTCCTGCCATACAAATACGGTCGGAACTCTTTACACGCGAAGATCACGGCATGCAGTTCTTGACGGGTCACGCAATAATTCAGCTCGGCCCCACTCAGGGTCCGACTGGCGTATGCGATGACCCGCTCCGTCCCACCCTGTACCTGTGACAGCACCGTGCCCAGCCCACTGCTGCAGGCGTCGGTGTCCAAGATAAAATCCGTGGTGAAATCGGAGAAAGCTAGGGTAGGGGTGTGGGTGAGGTGGTCTTTGAGGGTGGTGAAGGACGTTTGGCAGGCCTCCGTCCATCGATAGGGGTTCTTAGGGGAGGTGAGTTGGGTGAGGGGGCGTGTAATCTCGCTGAATCCCTTTACAAATCGACGATAATAGGTGGCGAGTCCCAAAAATGACCTGATCTCCGTCAGATTCCTGGGCCGTGGCCATTCCACTACGGCGTGCACCTTTTCCGGATGGGTGCGCACCCCCGCCTCGCTGACTCGGTGTCCGAGATACCCTACCTCGCGCTGCGCAATTTAACACTTACGCGGCTTGAGCTTGAAATGGGCTGCTCGCAGTCACTGGAACACCTCTAGCAACCTGGACCAGTGCTCGTACAGAGATCTGCTGAACACTATCACGTCGTCCAGGTAAATCAGGCACTGTTCCCACTGTAAGCCCCGCATTACCAACTCCATCAACCGCTGGAACGTCGCGGGCGCGTTAGTGAATCCGAACGGAAGCACTCGAACAGCCCCATCAGGGTGGTAAATGCGGTTTTCGGCCGATCCTCCTCCGCCATCTCCACCTGCCAGCACCCGGATGCCAGATCGAGGGTGGAAAAATACCGTGCTCCTGCAAGGCTGTCAAAGGTGTCGTCCATGCGCGGTATGGGGAAGGCGTCGCCGAGGGTGACTGTGTTCAACTTTCGGTAATCAACACAGAACCGGGTAGACCCATCCTTTTTCGTCACTAGCACCACCGGGCAGACCAGGGGCTCGTCGAGGGCTGAATTATGTTATCACTTAGCATATCCGCGACTGCCTCCTTGATCTGGGTCCGTTCGGGCGTGCCCACCCGGTATGCGGGGTGTTTGATCGAACAGGCTGCACCTGTGTCAATTTGGTGCTTAACAAGGTCTGTTCGGCCTACATCTGAATCGTGCTCACTGAACACGTCGGCGTACTCCCGTAACAACCCGCGCAGCTGATCGGCCTCCCCCTTAGGTAAATCTGCCCAAGGCACATGTAACGCATCATGCAGGGGAACGATCTCGGCCCGGGGGGTCGGGCCGACCCGCCAGGCCAGATCCTGGTTGTCCTCGGGGTGGCCAGGGTCTTCCGCCCAGAGTGCAAATACCGAGTCGTTAGAGTGGCACGCGTGCAGGGGGTGTATGGTAGCTACTGTGGTGCGTTGTCGTAGCATCGCCGGGGTACTGTGTGGGTTAAACACCCGCATGAACAGTCGCCCCCCATCTGCGTTTACCAGCGTGGCTGACCCTACGACTCCGTACCGCGCTGCCAACTCCGGGTGAGGGGTTAGCATTACCTCGCCCGATGGTCGGTGTGTGGGGTCGGTGGAGGGGGTTGCCACTGGCACCAGCATCTCGGCGAGTGGCCCGATGATGACGGCCGACACCAGCATAGCGGCTACGGGTGTGAAGCGAGGGCGATCCCGCTCCTGTCTCAGGAACGGGATTCGCTCCCCGCTGCCTTCCACACACCTGTGTGCACACCTGGTGTCCGAGACGGACCTCGAGGGAGATCCTTCCCAGCAACCCCATCCCGGCCCCGCTCGCTGTGTGCAGCGCGCGATCCGGGACCTGCAGGCGGCTCACGTCAACCCCTAGTACGCTGCAGTGTGCGGCGCTCACGAGTGAGGCTACGGCCCCCGTGTCCAGTAGGATCCGGGTGCGCTGCCCGTTCACCTGTCCTTCCACCAGCGACGTGGCCCCCGTGATTCCTGCCACCAGCTCCCGCAACCAGTCGCCTGTCCTCACCCCATCCTTGGGTGTTGTGGTTGGAACCTGTGTGGGGGTCACTCGCTCACCATTATTATTATCGTTTTGTTTCGGGATCTCGTTGATTGCACCCCTAGGTGGTCCACTCTCTAGGGGGCGTTGGCGTTTAACCCTGGCGCGTTTCTAGTGCGGGCGATCTGGGGACAGTCCCTAACGAGATGCCCTTGACGGTCACACAGGTAACACGTCCGGGGGAGGGCGGCGGCCCCGTAGAAGTCCCCCCGTCCGCTCCCTCTTTCCCTTCCGGTACGCCGCTGCCCAGATTCTGCCTCCAGTCGGGCTACCCTCCTGGCCAGCCCCCCTATCTCGGTCTGAACTGTCTCTACCGTAGTCTGTAGCGCAGTCATATGTGTCCGTACTTGGGTTACCTTGTTGTCTACTTGGGTTACCCTGTCACCTACTTGGGTCACCTGGCCGGCTACACCCTTTATGCCCGTCTGTATCCCAGCCACCCATCCCGGGGTTGTGTCGCGGGATGCCGGAGGCTCCCTCTCTCGCCCCCGTACTGCCCTGGCGAGTTCCTGTTCTTCCTCTTCCTCCTCGGTGGACAGACTTGCGATGGTGCGCTCCCGTCCCAGTCCTCGGAGCTGCGCGCGTTCGCTAGAAATTCTTTCACACTTACGCGCGCGCTCGACAAGGGCGTTAAAGGGAAGGCGCATACAGTTCATGTCTGGCTGCCACCACACCATGCGAGTCAAGTATCGCTGGATTTTCTCTGCGGCCAGCTCCTCAATCACCTCTGTCGTGTACCCCGGGCGTGCGATCTTTGTTAGCTCGCGCACATCCTCGGCATAATCGCGCAGTTCCTCGCCGGGTTGGCGCCGACATGCCTCTAAGGCCGCTTTTGCCTCCTCATCGCGCATACCGAAACGCAGATTAAGTCGGCGCATCAGCTCCTCTAGCTGTGTCTGCGCGCTTGCGGGTAGGGCTTCCACAAAATCGGCTGCCCGCCCATCCAGATTCATATTAAGTTGACGTAACGCCTGCGCGTCTGTCCACCCATTAATTTCATTAGACCCTAGGACGTTGCGGGCAAACGCTTTCCACGAAGGGGTACCCCGGCCGGTGAATATATGCCTTATTTTCGAGTGGGGTAACGCGAGGGTTCGTACCGCTTCTGACGCCAAACTGTGGGGGCTACCGTCCCCCGCCATCACAGAATTGTCGGGGCCGTTGTCCCCCGATTCCCCCGTGACCCTCGTACCGCTACCCCCCGGCTGTTCTGTGGGGTCCGGGCTACCGGCCTCCACTTCCTCGCTTCCCTGTACCCCTGACTTTGTTGCTGACCACGTCGGCATATTTCTATTAGCGGGGTGGTACGCTTTACGCTTGCAGCACGCGACACTGGTCAAAGGGGATCCCTGCGTTCTGATTTAAAGGGGCCGTTTAAACCACCGCGCGAATACGCGCACGCCTGGCGCGTCGCTCGCTACCGCGCTATAGACACTCGTGCAGGCGAGCGATCGCAACACAGTCACACCGGTGCGCGAGTGCTAAGCACTATTGTGATTGCGCAGGTATGCGAGTGCTAAACACTACTGTAAACAATCGTACAGATGCGTGGACACCAAGCACGCTCCACACTTTCAAAGACCGCACGACGCAGTTTTATCCCCCTGCTAGTGATTTTATTTGCCGCGAGTAACTCGTTTAATCTACGTGTGATGGTGTGGGTCAGTGGACGCTAGTCTATCCCTCGGAGGTCTTAGATTCAATTTCTCCTACCGATCGTCCCGCTCTCTACCCTGGATTTAAAACACTTAAACTTACGTCTCTCTCCCTCGCACTTACTTCCACCCTGCTGCGCTGAACGCTGTAGGGGGAGGAGGCGGCGAGTTGTCTCTGTAGAGGGGCGAGCCTGGCGGTGCTGGAGTACGTCCCACGGACGTCTCGGACGGCTGACTCTGCTGCTCCCGGGACCGCGATGATCTTGAAGAAGAACTGTATAATACTGCCTCAATCACCTCCTTTTATCCTACCTATCACAAAGGCATTCCGTGGCGCACGCGACCACAACACCGTCGCACAGGCACACGAGCGCTAAACACCCCCGAAAACAGTCGCTTAGGCACGGGCACGCTGAACAGCACACCCGTAAACAGCCGCGTAGGCACGCGCACGCTATTCGCTCCGCCTCGATGTAAACAACTGTGCGTGCGTGCGACCACCAAGCACTCTTTACCCTCTTATCCGCCACAAACAGCCGCATATGCGCACGAGCGCAAAACAGTACTGTACACACTCGTACCGGTACGCGAGCACCAAACACTCCGTCTCCCTCCTCGTACTCACAGCGACCACGACACAGTTTTATCCTCTATTAGTGGGTTTATTCCCCGCGAGTATCCCGCTAACTACAGGTGTCTGTGGGAGTCAGCAGGCCCTCCTAGCCTATCCCTCGAGGATCCCAGATTCAGCTTATCCTCCCTATAGCTCCGCTTTCTACCCTCGGTTCAATAGCCCAAACTTACCTCTCTCTCTTACGCGTACTTCCACTCTGCTGCGCTGGAAGCTGTAGAAAAGCGATCCGGAGAGGGTTGAGCCTGGCTGTGCTGAAGTTCGTCATGCGGACGTCTCGAACGGCTGACTCCCCTCCTGCATGGACCGCGATGATTTTTGATAAAGACTGACCCCGCTACCCCCAGCCTCTGTGCTTTTATCCACTCTAAAGGCATTCCGGTGCTCCCGCACTCCTGCGTGCCCTGTCCATTCAGAGGCCGAGTTATTCTCGTCTCATTGTTATTGAATCCCTAATCTTACCTATAACAAAGGCGTATCGTCGTTCCCACACCCCGTGCGGTCCATTCAGATGTTGGCTATTCTTACCCCTTTGTTATCTAGATCCCTGATCCTAACAAAGGCATTCCGATCCGCACCCCTTTGGCCTCCTGACTCGTGCTTGTGTGTGTGCGGTTTCACTCTCGGTGGCTCAACGGCCTCTGCTGTGACCACGTAACTTTAATATCAGGTCACGGCGCCGCGGTCCATGTCAGCCACGGGGGGAGATCGCCCAATTCCCCGGCCGCAGGAAACCATGAAGCTTGATCCCATTAGGGGCTTCTGGATAAAAACCCGTCGGTCAGGTGATCTCCCCTTCCGGCTCTACGTGGGGTGTGTGTGTGTTCATGCGGGGGGGGGGGGGGGGTGGGGGGCGGAAACGAAGCCCGTCGCGGCGGCGTTGGTGTCGCGGCGGTGGGCACGGTCCCCGACGGAGCTACTCCGCTGCGGTGGCACCACAGTACTCCTGCAGCGGCGCCAGCCATCGGGCCATCTGCCCCCGCGGTTCCTTGAATGTAAGGAGAAACTGCAGGGCATAATGGTCGGTGCGCACCCGACATTTCCTGCCATACAAATACGGTCGGAACTCTTTACACGCGAAGATCACGGCATGCAGTTCTTGACGGGTCACGCAATAATTCAGCTCGGCCCCACTCAGGGTCCGACTGGCGTATGCGATGACCCGCTCCGTCCCACCCTGTACCTGTGACAGCACCGTGCCCAGCCCACTGCTGCAGGCGTCGGTGTCCAAGATAAAATCCGTGGTGAAATCGGAGAAAGCTAGGGTAGGGGTGTGGGTGAGGTGGTCTTTGAGGGTGGTGAAGGACGTTTGGCAGGCCTCCGTCCATCGATAGGGGTTCTTAGGGGAGGTGAGTTGGGTGAGGGGGCGTGTAATCTCGCTGAATCCCTTTACAAATCGACGATAATAGGTGGCGAGTCCCAAAAATGACCTGATCTCCGTCAGATTCCTGGGCCGTGGCCATTCCACTACGGCGTGCACCTTTTCCGGATGGGTGCGCACCCCCGCCTCGCTGACTCGGTGTCCGAGATACCCTACCTCGCGCTGCGCAATTTAACACTTACGCGGCTTGAGCTTGAAATGGGCTGCTCGCAGTCACTGGAACACCTCTAGCAACCTGGACCAGTGCTCGTACAGAGATCTGCTGAACACTATCACGTCGTCCAGGTAAATCAGGCACTGTTCCCACTGTAAGCCCCGCATTACCAACTCCATCAACCGCTGGAACGTCGCGGGCGCGTTAGTGAATCCGAACGGAAGCACTCGAACAGCCCCATCAGGGTGGTAAATGCGGTTTTCGGCCGATCCTCCTCCGCCATCTCCACCTGCCAGCACCCGGATGCCAGATCGAGGGTGGAAAAATACCGTGCTCCTGCAAGGCTGTCAAAGGTGTCGTCCATGCGCGGTATGGGGAAGGCGTCGCCGAGGGTGACTGTGTTCAACTTTCGGTAATCAACACAGAACCGGGTAGACCCATCCTTTTTCGTCACTAGCACCACCGGGCAGACCAGGGGCTCGTCGAGGGCTGAATTATGTTATCACTTAGCATATCCGCGACTGCCTCCTTGATCTGGGTCCGTTCGGGCGTGCCCACCCGGTATGCGGGGTGTTTGATCGAACAGGCTGCACCTGTGTCAATTTGGTGCTTAACAAGGTCTGTTCGGCCTACATCTGAATCGTGCTCACTGAACACGTCGGCGTACTCCCGTAACAACCCGCGCAGCTGATCGGCCTCCCCCTTAGGTAAATCTGCCCAAGGCACATGTAACGCATCATGCAGGGGAACGATCTCGGCCCGGGGGGTCGGGCCGACCCGCCAGGCCAGATCCTGGTTGTCCTCGGGGTGGCCAGGGTCTTCCGCCCAGAGTGCAAATACCGAGTCGTTAGAGTGGCACGCGTGCAGGGGGTGTATGGTAGCTACTGTGGTGCGTTGTCGTAGCATCGCCGGGGTACTGTGTGGGTTAAACACCCGCATGAACAGTCGCCCCCCATCTGCGTTTACCAGCGTGGCTGACCCTACGACTCCGTACCGCGCTGCCAACTCCGGGTGAGGGGTTAGCATTACCTCGCCCGATGGTCGGTGTGTGGGGTCGGTGGAGGGGGTTGCCACTGGCACCAGCATCTCGGCGAGTGGCCCGATGATGACGGCCGACACCAGCATAGCGGCTACGGGTGTGAAGCGAGGGCGATCCCGCTCCTGTCTCAGGAACGGGATTCGCTCCCCGCTGCCTTCCACACACCTGTGTGCACACCTGGTGTCCGAGACGGACCTCGAGGGAGATCCTTCCCAGCAACCCCATCCCGGCCCCGCTCGCTGTGTGCAGCGCGCGATCCGGGACCTGCAGGCGGCTCACGTCAACCCCTAGTACGCTGCAGTGTGCGGCGCTCACGAGTGAGGCTACGGCCCCCGTGTCCAGTAGGATCCGGGTGCGCTGCCCGTTCACCTGTCCTTCCACCAGCGACGTGGCCCCCGTGATTCCTGCCACCAGCTCCCGCAACCAGTCGCCTGTCCTCACCCCATCCTTGGGTGTTGTGGTTGGAACCTGTGTGGGGGTCACTCGCTCACCATTATTATTATCGTTTTGTTTCGGGATCTCGTTGATTGCACCCCTAGGTGGTCCACTCTCTAGGGGGCGTTGGCGTTTAACCCTGGCGCGTTTCTAGTGCGGGCGATCTGGGGACAGTCCCTAACGAGATGCCCTTGACGGTCACACAGGTAACACGTCCGGGGGAGGGCGGCGGCCCCGTAGAAGTCCCCCCGTCCGCTCCCTCTTTCCCTTCCGGTACGCCGCTGCCCAGATTCTGCCTCCAGTCGGGCTACCCTCCTGGCCAGCCCCCCTATCTCGGTCTGAACTGTCTCTACCGTAGTCTGTAGCGCAGTCATATGTGTCCGTACTTGGGTTACCTTGTTGTCTACTTGGGTTACCCTGTCACCTACTTGGGTCACCTGGCCGGCTACACCCTTTATGCCCGTCTGTATCCCAGCCACCCATCCCGGGGTTGTGTCGCGGGATGCCGGAGGCTCCCTCTCTCGCCCCCGTACTGCCCTGGCGAGTTCCTGTTCTTCCTCTTCCTCCTCGGTGGACAGACTTGCGATGGTGCGCTCCCGTCCCAGTCCTCGGAGCTGCGCGCGTTCGCTAGAAATTCTTTCACACTTACGCGCGCGCTCGACAAGGGCGTTAAAGGGAAGGCGCATACAGTTCATGTCTGGCTGCCACCACACCATGCGAGTCAAGTATCGCTGGATTTTCTCTGCGGCCAGCTCCTCAATCACCTCTGTCGTGTACCCCGGGCGTGCGATCTTTGTTAGCTCGCGCACATCCTCGGCATAATCGCGCAGTTCCTCGCCGGGTTGGCGCCGACATGCCTCTAAGGCCGCTTTTGCCTCCTCATCGCGCATACCGAAACGCAGATTAAGTCGGCGCATCAGCTCCTCTAGCTGTGTCTGCGCGCTTGCGGGTAGGGCTTCCACAAAATCGGCTGCCCGCCCATCCAGATTCATATTAAGTTGACGTAACGCCTGCGCGTCTGTCCACCCATTAATTTCATTAGACCCTAGGACGTTGCGGGCAAACGCTTTCCACGAAGGGGTACCCCGGCCGGTGAATATATGCCTTATTTTCGAGTGGGGTAACGCGAGGGTTCGTACCGCTTCTGACGCCAAACTGTGGGGGCTACCGTCCCCCGCCATCACAGAATTGTCGGGGCCGTTGTCCCCCGATTCCCCCGTGACCCTCGTACCGCTACCCCCCGGCTGTTCTGTGGGGTCCGGGCTACCGGCCTCCACTTCCTCGCTTCCCTGTACCCCTGACTTTGTTGCTGACCACGTCGGCATATTTCTATTAGCGGGGTGGTACGCTTTACGCTTGCAGCACGCGACACTGGTCAAAGGGGATCCCTGCGTTCTGATTTAAAGGGGCCGTTTAAACCACCGCGCGAATACGCGCACGCCTGGCGCGTCGCTCGCTACCGCGCTATAGACACTCGTGCAGGCGAGCGATCGCAACACAGTCACACCGGTGCGCGAGTGCTAAGCACTATTGTGATTGCGCAGGTATGCGAGTGCTAAACACTACTGTAAACAATCGTACAGATGCGTGGACACCAAGCACGCTCCACACTTTCAAAGACCGCACGACGCAGTTTTATCCCCCTGCTAGTGATTTTATTTGCCGCGAGTAACTCGTTTAATCTACGTGTGATGGTGTGGGTCAGTGGACGCTAGTCTATCCCTCGGAGGTCTTAGATTCAATTTCTCCTACCGATCGTCCCGCTCTCTACCCTGGATTTAAAACACTTAAACTTACGTCTCTCTCCCTCGCACTTACTTCCACCCTGCTGCGCTGAACGCTGTAGGGGGAGGAGGCGGCGAGTTGTCTCTGTAGAGGGGCGAGCCTGGCGGTGCTGGAGTACGTCCCACGGACGTCTCGGACGGCTGACTCTGCTGCTCCCGGGACCGCGATGATCTTGAAGAAGAACTGTATAATACTGCCTCAATCACCTCCTTTTATCCTACCTATCACAAAGGCATTCCGTGGCGCACGCGACCACAACACCGTCGCACAGGCACACGAGCGCTAAACACCCCCGAAAACAGTCGCTTAGGCACGGGCACGCTGAACAGCACACCCGTAAACAGCCGCGTAGGCACGCGCACGCTATTCGCTCCGCCTCGATGTAAACAACTGTGCGTGCGTGCGACCACCAAGCACTCTTTACCCTCTTATCCGCCACAAACAGCCGCATATGCGCACGAGC